CAACAACAACAACAACAACAACAACACCATCATCAACGACGGCACCGCTCCCCCCCACCACCACCGTAGCGACTGCGGAGGCAATAACAACACATAGAGTGGGGGAGGGTAGTAGTTGAGCTAAAGCGTATCCGCATTGACGATAAAAATGCTATTTCTAAGGACACTAATAGGGCAAACAGGATCAGGACAGGACATATGCCTTGACGCCGCGCCCAATCTCATCACCCATTTATCGACAGACTTAGACAATTGACTGGCGCAAACACTGTAGAACCCCTTCCCGCGGTATATCAACGGATTTCTCGCTATAAAATCTTACGCGCTTAAGTCTATCATACTGGGTTAGGAGTCACGGCTTTTAAGGCTGCCAGCTCATAGGATAATTCGCTCCAGCTCAGGTCTGCGAGTCGGGCTGCAACGGACTTTTCTTTAGGTACGCTGCATAGCACCCTCACTCATGCGAGATTTGGAGCAGACTTGTGAAAGTCTGATACACGTCTTGGGGATCAAGTCATGCGTGGCATGCGTGGTGGTATAAATGATAGCGGTAGCAGCACAAGCCCCTGGTAGTATTCGTAAGAATAGTTGCCTTACATGTAGTAGTGGCAGCATTACTAGGGGTAGTAATAACAGAAACGATAGTTATGCTGGTATTAGGAGTACTGGTAGCAGATGTGACATCCGATGTCACAATATTGGTAGCAGCAAGCGCATTAATAACAATACGATGAAGTGATCCATTGTCGTTCGCGCTATTATTTCACCCCACACAGGCCTCTTTAACCGTTTCTCCTGATGCTCTCTTCCACATAAGTATGCTGGTAGAATTGAGAGTTAAAAGACACATGAATACTGATGTTTGTCGAGCAGCAACTTTGGCAATGCGACAGAAATGTGGGTTCACCTGCCTTTACACATGCGTCCGCGCGCGCGTGCGAGTGCGCACGCCATCATGTCTGAGAAAGTGCAGACTGCGCGGAACCACGTCCCACCACCACCGCCACCGCCATCACCAAAACCGCGCCTTTTGTGAGCAGAAAAGACCAGAATTCTCAAGCTACACAAGCAACCATGGTGATGCTGGCAAAGTTGGAGTTTTTGCGCCAGCTCAGTTTGCTGTA